CCCCCCAGTCAGGGAGACGTCCAGCTCCCGTTTGTCTTTCACATCATGGTAACTCCATAAATAGGGGTTTTAGTGACAGATGTATTTTAGGATGTGTTGTATGTTCTATTCCCCGGCGCCCCTCTCGTTTCCTCTTTTGCTCTTTCTTGGGCATATAGAGATATTTATATATTATAAAAATAACGGCTGTTGACATTGCTGGCTACTCTGAAAAAAAGGCACTTCATTGAAATATCTGAGAATGGCCTCTCCTCCAAAGTGATTTGAGGGGGGGATACTTTGTTGTAATATAATATTTATTTTATATCATGCTGCTTTTTCAAGTTTGTTTTTTCGATATTGGGTGATTTTTGTTTTCGAGGGCGGCAAAGTGAATGATTTTGTGTTTTTCTTTTTTCTCTCTCCATGTGGCTAGAGACGTTAAAACCGGTAAGATTTTTCCAAGACTTCGAGGTAATCCGGCTTGGTTTGAAGTTTGGCCCTTAACTCGAGGTAATCGCTTTGGGACGGATCTGGGTAGAGGGCTTTCCCCGTCGTGAAAAGCAATGTCTCCTTCAGCCGTGCGTCCTGCTGCAAATCCGGGTACTGCATGCCTGGTGGGTGCGCATGCGCCACATGCATGTCCTTTAGTTTGGGTACTGTCCCATACAAACAGTCTACAAAGCCCACTGTTGGTGTCGGCCTCTGACTGTCAATAACTGTGGGACAGAGCCCTCCGTTCTGGTGAAATCCTGCCATGTCAGCCGTGGCATGGTTCACTGTGACGATGGTGTTGAGCTGAGAGTTTGAGACGGCCAGGGTCCACTCTCTTTCTTTCTCTAACAAGGTTCTGTAGTTACTGTTGCTACTGCTGCCATTGTCTTTCCTATCTGAAAAATGTGCCCTGTCTTCCTCAGCTATTTCCCCCTCTCGAGGTTTATAGATGGGGTTGTTGCACATCTGAGTCACAGGGTGGGGGATGTAATCATAAACGTGACCATGGGCATGTGTGTGACCAGAGTGAGTGTGTGTGTGCGTGCTGGGTGTCGGTTTCTCCGGCGTGCAGGTGTTGCCAGAACAGCTCTGCCTCGGTGGGTCCTCGAAAATCCGGCACTGCATCTGGATCCCCGTCAGGTCGACCTCGGAGCGTTTCCGGAAGGGGAGCTTCTTCCTGCGACGGAGAACAAAGGCGTAAAGCCCGGCAGCCACGAACACAGCGGAGATGAAGAGTATGAGCAGGCTGAGGATTAGAACAGACAGCGGGACAGCTCCTCTCCCACCTGCCTCCCCCATTTCAGAGCTCCCCGTGGTGAGGTCGTTCCCTCCAGGCAGGGCAGGAGAGGGGCCTGAAGAGATCTTGAGCTCAGGACAGATGACCTCCACCTCCAGGGTACGCAGGTCCTTCCCGAAAGCATACTCAGGCGTCTTGCACATGACATCTCCAACCACGATGACGGAAGAGAGCTTCTCCAGCCACTGTTTGAGGGGGATGATTTCGCAGGAGCACTCCCAGGGGTTCTGATGGAGGTCAATCTGGACAATGGAGGTCAGATGCTCCAGAATGCCACGCACAGGCATGAAAAGGAAGTAGTTGTTGCGCAGGTTGAGACGTGCAAGGTTGGTGCCGGCGAAAGCGTCATTGGGGAGGGAACGCAGCAGGTTGTCATTGAGGAACACCAGCTGGAGGTTGGGCATCAGGGAGAAGGAGTTAGGTTGTATCTCACGTATGACGTTGTACTCAAAGTAAAGATATCTCAACATCTGAAGCCCCCGAAACATACCGGGGGCGAGTCTCTCTATGTCGTTCCCATTCAGGTATAAACTCTTCAAGTTGGGCAGGTTGATAAAGGCGCCCTCTTGGACGTAGGATATCCGATTATTTCCTAAATGCAGTAAATCCAAGCTTGAGAAGTTCCAGAAATCAGAACGGTAGATTTTCTGTATTAGGTTCCCGCTAAGATATAATTTCTTGGCATTGAGAGGCCGAGGCAGGAGCTCCGAGATGTTGTGGAGGCCTTTGTCTTTGCAGTTCACCGTTAGCCCCAGGTCATTGATGTGGAGGTTGCAAGTACATCCAGCTGGACAAATGATTGGAATGGGAGGCCTTGTTTGGTAGCCAGCAACAGGGGGCTGGTTGATGCCTGGGTAGATGCTACGAGGGGTTGGGGGGTTCTTTGTTGGCCGAGGTCGTTTGGTAGGCTTAACAGCTCTTTCCTTGTATTCCACAGAAGAGGCTGTGTTGTGAAAGGAGGAGAGCATGGAGGAAGGTTTAGTAGGCCATGTGTTCTCGTTGCTGAACGGGATCCGGGGAATTCCCAGCTTGGCCTCAATCTCTGCATCGGAGAACAGCGGGCAGAGCTCACTGCGCTTGATTTCCCGTAAGTCTTTCCCATGTAAGTGGAACGGGTTCTCACATGTGATCTCACCAACCAGAGCTGTGTAGGGGATTCTCTCCAGCCACGTTTTTAACTGGACAATCTCACACACACAGTTCCAGGGGTTCTCCTCCAGCTGGATTTCCATTAGGCTCCTCCCAACGTACTCCAGCATGCCTTTATACGGCAAAGTCTTTAGTCTGTTTCCCCTCAGGTCCAGATGTGTGAGCGACGCAGACCGGAAAAGATAATTCGGTAGCACAGGGATCAGATTGTCATTTAGTATGAGCACTCTTAATTTGTGAAGGTGCCTGAACGCACCACTTTCAATCCGTTTGATAACATTGTAGTCCGCCTGGAGGTACTCTAAACTCCCCAACCCCAGAAAAGTGTCATTCCGGAAAACCTCCAGTTTGTTTTCATGTAGGAACAGCCGTTTGAGTATTCCCAAACCATTGAACGCTCCTGCGTGGATGTCTTGCAAGGCATTGTTACCCAGATTAAGTGATATGGCATTGTTCAGATGGAGGAAGCTGTTGAAGTAAAGCTTCCTCATCGAGTTCCTCTGCAGATTGAGCTTGAAGGGCCGACTCCATATCTGTGAGATCTGGCTAACATTTGTAAATCCTTTGCTGTCACAGTGGACGTGGAAGATGCCCTCCTTGACCTCGCAGTAGCAAGGCTCGAAGCAGGGCTCGTCGATCTCCTCCGAGTCCTCCAGCATTGGCATCGGGGTGGTCCATCCTAAGGCTATGGTGCTCAGCAAGGTAACCCACAGCATCCTCGCTGACACCGAGGGGATGAAGCTTCGGCTCCAGGGACAGAGCCACTTCACAGCACTGCAGCAGAGAACAGAGGGGAGGGAGAGACAATGGATGGGAGGGAGGGGAATACGCGGAAGTAAACACACTCCAACAAAGTGAAGTTTGGGGTGAGAGGCGGACACACAGAGGAAGGAGAGACAGAGAGAACGCTGCATTAGTTTAGGGCTTTGAAATAATGATTAATAGAATGACATTTGCTATATTGCCTCAAACTAAACCAAGCTCTCCAAGATGGGTTATATGATACCCTGCAATGAAAACAAATCTTTATATCCAGACAGTTAACGTCAGTATATAGAGGGGTGGGGGTGCCATTTATTATACAGCAGACGTGCTGCTAAGGTCGCAATAAATCACCTCAGATGCTTATCGCCGTGAATAAGCGAAGGGAACAGCAGGTGGGTGAGGTTAGTGGTGAGGAGACACCGTCCCCCCGCTTTATTTATTACATAACAGGGGACCTCAATCCCTCTTTTGGTAAATGAGTCCAGGGAAGCGCGAGGGGAAATTAAAGTAGGTGCATCGAAGGTCTAACGCAGGAATAGGACGGGAGCGGAATAGGTGTCAGCTCGGGGACCATTAGTGGGACGAGATGGGGAGTGTCGAAGGACTTGCTGAACATCAATCTCGTTAAAATCCATCTCCACACATTGTATTTATACTGTGTATTCCCGTCTATACAGCTCATAGAAATGTCGTAAAATAATGTACACAGTAACACTGGGGCCTTCGAAAATGCAAGGTCTGAATCTATCAGTGTAAAAATGGTCACACGTGAAATCTAAGAAGAAATAGTCCAATAGGTCCAATGATTTTGTCGGCTGTAAGCTCACAGCGTTTTCTTAGTTCAAATGTAAAAATAAATAGGATAGCACTCGACTTATTCGTTTTAGTTGATCCTGACATTTGCCAAAAAATATAATCAATATAACTTCATTTGGCTTCTGATGCCAGTGGAGGATTATAGGGACAACGGCACAAGTGAAAAGCTGCTGCTCCGAGAGGCTCACGAGGATGTGTATTAGATCCAGTTGGCCTATAAATAAATAATAACACGTATAAAGAGAGGATACATTGAAAAACTGATTCTTATAAAAAAAGCAAGGTGAAACAGTTTGATTCAAAAAAGGTTGGCTGATTGTAGATGTGGTTAATGATCTCCATCGTGTAGGGGAAAGTCAGTCACACACACGCACAAAGACCGTTGAATACGTTTTCTGTTGCCTTTGACTTTTTATACAGCACTGTCCGTTCAAACAACGGTGCTGACAATCCAGAGACAGAGTAGAGTCGCTGTCCATGGTGCCTCAAACCAAAAGGGAAAAAGAGAAAAAGGAGGAAAAACGAAATGTGTTGTAATCCGAAAAAAAAGACGTGACACCAAAACGCGCCAAGGAGAGAAAAAAAAACATCCTTGACCACGATCTCCTCGCTGTAAAATCAGTTTGCAATGCCCACACCGTGCGTAATCCTCCAGGATATATTGAATCCCCTTCCATGATAGAGACCAACAACAAAAAAGCTCAGATGCAATGCCACAAAAAGTAATAACGATATTTCAAGCATTTAAAAATAATAATGTAAGCTATATAATATGCCCTTGGGGGGTGTAGCAAATCGGCTGTTATACCTACTTAGTTTAACGAGATTCCAACTTCACATAACCTCCTGCGATGTGTTCCCGGTGCGTCCCGCTGACCGTCCGATGCCGGGCTGCGAGGAAGAGAAGGAAGAAGAAAACGGGGGCCGTTAGAAAAACAGAGGGAGAGGTGGAAAGAGAGAGCATTGAGGAGGGAGAGAGTCATAGATGCGCATGTGAATGAGCCACGGGTTCAAAACCAAAGCACAGCCCTGTTACTTACATGAATTAAAAGTGATGTGAACACGAGCTATAAAGGAGATTCCAATCTGGTGTTTAAAGTAAGTTACTGAGAAACGATGATATCTCACGAGCTCCTGACATCAAACCTGCGGCTCTCATTAACTGACATTTCCCCAAAAATAACCTTGCTGTCATTTGAAGAGGGGCAGAGACACATGCCAAGCATAATGCAGTAGCCATTCGTCGTGACATTGGCAGGAACGCGGAGAATAAAAGAACAAACGGCTAATGATCAGTCCACTGGATCCCTGCGATCCGTTATCCTCGATATGTGGAGAGCGCTGTGTCCCTTTTTTGAAGTCCATGGCTATGCAGACACCAGCACAAGCATGAACACACACACACACACACACACACACACACACACACACACACACACACACACACACACACACACACACACACACACACACACACACACACACACACACACACA